TATCTGCTGCTTGGGGTTTTGAGGGTGCAGTCAGAAGGTCACGTGGAGCCCACAGCAGGATGCCAGGCACACACGCTTGCCCAGTCAGGTGGCCAGTAACAATCTTTATTTTATTAGCGTTATCAGTACTTATGTATGTATGAGTCACTCTGCTCTTTTTTTTTTTTTAAGATTTTATTTATTTATTTGACAGAGATCACAAGTAGGCAGAGAGGCAGGCAGAGAGATGGGGGAAGCAGCCTCCCCACTGAGCACAGAGCTGGATGTGGGGCTCAATCCCGGGACCCCAAGATCATGACCTGAGCCGAAGGCAGAGGTTTAACCCACTGAGCCACCCAGGCACCCCACTCTGCTCTTTTAATATACATTTAGTAGCGCTGGCATTAGCTGTGTTAAAAGTCTCCTTTACTATATATTTGAGCTTGCAAAAATTTAAATCGACCTGGTAAAAACCACCATAAACAAAGTCAAATGACAAATGGGTCAAGGGCTGTATTTGCAATGCATAATGTAGACAAAGGGTTCATTTCCTAATATATAAAGAACTACTCAGTTAAAAAATGAACAGTTGTAAGGCTTTTTATGGTGGTATTTTTCCATTTAACGGTGCTACAGATTTCATGTCATGAGTACTCAGAGCAAAACAGGAAAACCCTAGGTTGGAGGGGGTCTCGGGACATGTATAGCCAAAGAAATATCCATGAGTGTGTAAACAGACCTGAAATTTTTGTTTATGTTTCCCCATAAAGTAGCTCTCTCTCAGAAATGTTCTGTTGCTGTCTGCAGTACCTCCTGTGTACCCTGTCACCCATGATTTTCTCATCTCCTTTTCCTGGCTCCCCTGCACCCAGAAAGTCACAGAGTCTTTTCTGGGTTTCATTCAGAGTAGTTCACAACTGCTTCAATCTTTTCAGGCATGCAACTACTATCTTAGTCAAAAAGATATTCAGTACCTTACTGGACTGTTGGTTTCCCTTACTTTCCCCTCGTCCCTCCTCCAGGCACCACAGTATACCACACCCAGATCAGTTTCCTTAAGACGGTTTTTGTGTCGGCCCACCAACCTACTCAGAAACCTTCGGTGGTTCTTACCATCTAGAATGGAGTCTGCCTTCTGAACCCGACCCTTAGGGTCCTTTCGTGTGATTCACTGTTCTTCTGTCTCTAGCCTTACTGAGTCTTTTTCACTATGACTCTTTAGGGACCCTCTAAACACTTAACCTGGTCGGCATGGACGCCCACTGTGCCCATTTCTGCCTTTATGCTGCCCAGCTCGGCTCCCGTCTCCTCCAGCCCACTGGCTGGCCTCTGTGCCTTCGGTGCCCATTGTTTTCTTGCTTCTGTGCATGTATTAGCTGTCTGGACCTCCCCTCTTACGTTTAACCTCTGGCCCCTATGTTGTTTTAGGTAAACCTTTTCTTTTTTTCTTTTTTTTTTTTTTAAGGTAAACCTTTTCATTGAAGTAGAACATAATCCAGAGGTGCCCAGATCACAAAGTAGATCAGCAACTTTTCACAAGGTGAACACACCCATGTCATCCACATTCCTCTCTTCTGATTCACACCCTGCTTCCCTAACTAGATGGTAAACCCTTGAGAGACAGAACTACATAGTGTGCCTTTGTGTGAAAACGCATGGAATTAGGTGCTCAGTGACATTCCAGATCAGGAATTTGAGCTAAGAAAGGGATGTAGGGTGGCGCCTGGGTGGCTCAGTGGGTTGGGCCTCTGCCTTCGGCTCAGGTCATGATCTCAGGGTCCTGGGATCGGGCCTCTCATCAGGCTCCCTGCTCGGCAGGGAGCCTGCTTCTCCCTTTCCCACTCCCCCTGCTTGTCTCTCTCTCTGTAAAATAAGTCAATAAAGTCTTCAAAAAATTAAAAAAAAAAAAGGGATCTAGGCTTTAACAGATAAGAAACACATAGAAGGGGTACCCGGGTGGCTCAGTTGGTCAAGCATCTGCCTTCGGCTCAGGTCATGATCCAGGGTCTTGGGATCGAGTCCCACGTGGGCTTCTTGCTCAGTGCGGAGCCTGCCTCTCCCTCTGCTTGCTGTTCCCTCTGCTTATGCTGTCTCTCTCTGACAAATAAATTTTAAAATTAAAAAAAAAAAAGAAACAGAAATTTAAAGGAGTATGTGAAATTTCCATTACTAACAGCAAATTCTTTCTTGACAACTAGTTATAGTTTAGATATGATTAGAGAGAATATAATTTGGTGAGTCTGTTCAAGGGTTTCTAGGTGGTAACCTGTAAGTAAGACCTTCAAATCCAGTCTGAACAAGCCCGTGTCATAGCTTTCACTTTTCAGATAAGGTACGCAGACATGTACAACGTTAGTTTTCATTGTCATTCTCTCTAGCAAATATTTATTGACCATACACAGTCTACTAGATATGGTTCCAGCGTATGTTAGTATTCAGCTGTGAATAACACACAAGATTGTTCCTCTTTACAGAGCTTGTATTTTAATGAGTCACTAGAAATAATTGATAGAACTGAAAGAAAGGCTTTAAGACTGAAGGTACACAACAAGGCCTAAATAGGAGAATGGTGAAAAATGGTTACGAAATCCTCATCAACATACAGAGGGAATAAGAGCATGGAGAGAGGAGGGGCTCAAGGACGATCAGCCCCGCTCTAGGGACATCTGGTAAGAAATCCATTTGTTTGGGACATTACCAAAGGTACGAAAGACCGGCGGCAACTCAGAAAGGTAAAATAAGTCCAGAGTTAAGGAGAGCAGAGAGATTTCAAAAACATCATAGGAAATACTTAATTTTCAGCAGAGCCTTACAGTTTACAAGGAAGGGACTTTGACTTGTTCATCCCACCAGATCTTGGCCACTCTGATCACGTTCATACAGTCATGCTGCTTCTGTGAGCTGGCCGTGAGTGTAGACCGACTGCCGAACTCTTCTCCAGGCTGCTCTTATCACCGTTTTTCCTGTTTACTTTAAAGCTCAAGCATGAGGAGCTCGCTGGCTGTCACGCCGTGCAGAGGTTGTCCACATAAGGCAAAGTGAGGTCAGGCACATCGTTTGGCAGCCCCTTGCCGTGGCTCTGTCACTTGGAAACCTAGGCACAGGAGATGGACGGTAGAGGACCCCTAGGCTGCTAAGCCTGAAACAGTAACTTGTTGAAAGTATTATGAGTTCCCTTTTTGTTCTGTTTTGTCTTGCCTTTTATTGCCCCTTTGGTTATATCTTTTTTGAAACTACAAGGCTTCAGTTTGCAAAGCTATCAATCTGCCAGTCTTGACGTGGCTTTCACTTCGAATTAAGGTTCAACAAAGGGATTAGTAGATAACCATTTCAGGCTGTGTTTCTTTACGCAAAAGGGTGGATATGGTTTGAACAGGCTGCCAAAGCCAGGAAGAGAAGTTAATTGCGTAAATCAATGCAGCCAAGAGCTGATCACCTTTCTGAAAGACAAGACCATGCAGCATACAACCTCTAAATAGATCTTTGGGGTCAAGTTGATGTCATGTGGAAGAATCAATATTTACTGGGCTTTATAAAGTTAGCCTTAATGAACCCCAGGCATTTTGCTAGGCCGCTAATTGCAGGAAGAGGGAAGGCGACAGTGGCTGAAGTCCATGGCTATGGAGCTTATGCAAAAATAAGTGTAGAGACAGTCACTTGCTTTTGTGCAAAGGGCCCACCCTAGATTCCACCCAAGCTTTTCTTGGGTATGTGTACGGAAAGGCTGGCTTTCTTGGGATTTTACTGACATTTTAAGAAACAGCAGCTCTTGCATCGTAACAGAAGAACATAAGCCCTTTACACTTCGACACCGTTATCTAAGCAGTTAACTTTCTGAGATGAGTTTTTTTTTTTTTAAAGATTTTATTTATTTATTTGACAGAGAGCACAAGCAGGGAGAGTGGCAGGCAGAGGGAGAGGGAAAAGCAGACTCCCTTCTGAGCAAGGAGTCCGAATCAGGACTCGATCCCAGGACCCTGGGATCATGACCTGAACTGAAGGCAGACGCCTGACCAACCGAGTCGCCCAGGCCCCCATCTGAGATGCGCCCTGATGTCGTTTTGGATTCTGCCTTATAAATGTGCTAATCACGAGGGCAGGTGCCTCTCAGAGTATAGCTCATGCCTCCGTCTGACACACTTGAAAGCTTTTAAAGTAAAGAATTGTAGTAAAGAGCGTTTACTTTAGGATGCTGGCTTCAGTCCAAGTTGAGTAAAAGGTTTTTTGATAAATATTATCATTTGCATGTGTGATATCGTCCAGTAGAAGGCTGTTTGGTATGCCTGAATGTTCTGGATTCCTCTTGGGATTGGCAGAATCACTGGTGGGTTAGGAACCTTATCTTCTATTTATTTTAATGGGTGCTTCTACTACATGTTGTTGACTAGGTAGAGGAATGCAATCAGATTTTGTCCTGTCTGTAACAAAATACTGACCCTGTAGAGTCAGGAACTGAAAGTCGTCAAGCAGCTTTGTTAGGTGCTATGACTCAGAGTGTAGCCCCAGGATGTTTGTTACAAGTTCTTGGTCATGGGTGCTTAGTAGATAAATTTTGGAATTGACCTTTCAGCCCTCTTAGTGTCTTTCATCAGTGGAGGTTTTAAAATGCACCAGAGAGAAGAGCTTCTCTTCTCTTCCCTCTCCCACTCTCATCCCTTCTCTCCAGGATCGTTTTTCAGAACAAACACTGAAAAAAAGCACGAGAGGTTTGTTGGGATTGTTGTAGTGGTTTTTTTTTGTTTGTTTGTTTTTTAATTTATTCGACAGAGAGAGATCACAAGTAGGCAGAGAGGCAGGCAGAGAGAGAGGAGGAAGCAGGCTCCCCGCCAAGGAGAGAGCCCGATGTGGGTCTCGATCCCAGGACCCTGGGACCATGACCTGAGCCAAAGGCAGAGGCTTTAACCCTCTGAGCCATCCAGGCGCCCCTGTTGTAGTGTTTTTACAAGAGAATCTGATGGCTGCTATTTTCATCTGTATTTTCCTTTGGATATTCATTGTGGGTTTGTATTCTTTCTTTTCAGCTCTTTGAGAACTTCTACTTTGGTACCCTGAAGCTCAATTCAATTCACATCTCTCAGAGGTTCACAGTAGACAGCTTTGGAAACTACGCTTCCTGTGGGCAAATTGACTTCTCCTGAGGTGGATCTTGGGAAGTGCTAGAAGTTGAACATCCTCACCGGGTACTGAGGGAAAATACCTCTGTTTGAATTACTGAAGAGGGAGGGAGAAATTTGGATGGTGACTTTCCTGGGTGGCTCCCCACACAAACCATGGTCTCTCGTGGTTGTCCCCAGTCCTCAAACTGTCAGCTAAGGTGGCTGTGGGCACAAGGTAGTGTAACCCATGGCTTGTTCATCTTTCACAGGGTCTGCCTTTCTTTCTGAAGGTCTCCTCTGGAAATGTACGTCTCAAGCCCATTGGAGCTGAGATTCACGTTATTTCTTATACACCTATGGATTTTCCTACAGCCATTAAACTCTTTCATAGTAGTACTTTAAAAGAGAATTAAAGACCTGGTTTTGTTACTCTCTCCACCTAAATCAAATGTCTGCAGTTTTTAGAAGGTTTGATTTTTTACTTCCCTTTAGACCTAAACTTTTTTTTAAAGATTTTATTTATTTATTTTTTAAAAAGATTTTATTTATTTACTTGACCGAGAGAGATCACAAGTAGGCAGAGAGGTGGGCAGAGAGAGAGAGAAAGGGGAAGCAGGCTCCCCACCAAGCAGAGAGCCTGATGCGGGGCTTGATCCCAGGACCCTGAGATCATGACCTGAGCCAAAGGCAGAGGCTTAACCCACTGAGCCACCCAGGCGCCCTGAAGATTTTATTTATTTTAGAGAGAAAGCAAGCAGGGCAGGGGCAGAGGGATAGGGAGAGAGAAAACCCAAGTAGACTCTGCGCTGAGCATGAAGTCTCAACGACCCTGAGATCATGACCTGAGGTGAAATCAGAAGTCGGACACTTAATCCACTGAGCTACCCTGGTGTCCCTGTACCTTAACTTTTTTTTTTTAAGATTTTATTTATTTATTGGACAGAAAGAGAGACAGCGAGAAAGGGAACACAGGCAGGGGAGTGGGAGAGGGAGAGGGAGAAGCAGACTCGCTGCTGAGCAGCGAGCCTGATGTGGGGCTCAATCCCAGGACCCCAGGATCACGACCTGAGCCGAAGGCAGATGCTCAACTAGTTGGGCCACCCAGGTTCCCCTGTACCTTAACTTTTAATCACGACCCAGAAGTTCTTTTTTAATATGGTAAAAACCACACAACATATGGTTTACCATTTTAACCATTTGTTACTGTCCAGTTCCGCACTGTTACGTGTCCTCACATTGTTCTGAAACATCTCCAGAACTTTCCCATCTTGCAAATCTGAAACTATACCCATTTAACAACTCTCCGTTTCCTTCTCCCCCAGGTCCCTGGCAACCACCCTTCTACTTTCTCTATGAATTTGATTACTTTGGATACCCCATGGAAGTAGGATCATACAGTATTTGTCTTTTTGTGACTGGCTTACTGCACTTTAGCAAAACATCCTCAAGGTTTATCCATGTTGTAGCACTTGTCAGAATTCCCTCCCTTTTAAAAAGGCCAAATGATATTCCTCTGTACATGTACACCACGTTTGGTTTATCTCTTCAGCCACGACTGGGCTCTTGGGTTCCTTGACCCCTCGGCTGTTGTGGATGTAGTGCTCAGTGAACATGGGTGCAGAGGGATCTCTTTGCGATTCTGCTGTTAGTTCCTTTACTGCTCAGAATTTTATCTTTAGCAAAATAACTCAAAGTGTTTATCTTTTACTTTGGTCTGTCCTCTTCTGAACTTGGCACCCTTTTATGTGTGTTAGGATCCCATTCCTTACCTTCCCCTACCCTCCAGGCTTCCCACGCCCCTGATGGCATTATGGCATCATGGCTCTTTTATATTTCCTTCAAGGCAACAGCAGTAGAAACAGTGAGGATAGGGGCAGGAGGATGCGGGGTTCCCTGGGACAAGGGCAGGTGCAGAAGCTCCTTCTTCCTTGCCGGGGACTGTTGGGTGGAGGGGGCTTGCAGCACAGCTTCCCTGACCCATCAGTCCTGCCACGTGCTCTGCTGGGATGCTCCGGCCTCAGGCTTACCCTCATCTCCTCCTGTTCACATCCCTCTTCCTCCATGTCCCCTCTTTGTCTTCCCTTCATTCCTTACTCTTATTTTGATTCTATCCGTTTGAGAAGTCTCCTTCTGAACCCTGTGCATTAAGGCTGCCTTGGATTTGTTCCTCAGTGTGACTGCACAGATCATTTGTGAATAAATGAATTTCCAAAGCCACTGTGTTTGTGCTCGCTTCGGCAGTACATATACCAAAGCCACTGTGTTTTTCTCTAGTATTATCGCACAGTTTTAGCTTGACCCCCTTTGTTGGGGCGTGTTGGGACACCATGCTGCCCTCATGGACGCCCTAGCATCGCTGTATCATTCATCTGGAGCTTACATAGGAGTGCCTGCAGGTGGTTTCTCCCTCAGATGCTTTCTTCTAGGAACGTTCGTTTTTTATTTTTATTTGAGGTTTTACCTCGTTTACTGCCAGAGGTTAGATGGCACGTGAGAAGGAGTGCTCCAAGGGATCATACTGAAAAGTGGAGCTTGGTGTCCTCATCTCATCCCAGCATTTCTCTCCTATTGGTTTCTTTTCGACACCTGCCGCCCGGCAGCCTTGGCCCCAGGAAGTAAAAATGTCTTATTTTCAATGTCAGAGATGTATGACCTGTGTTTCCAGTAAATCTTTTTTTTTTAAGTTTTATCTTTGGAAGATGTAACCTTGTATATCCTAAATTCTTTTTTTTTTAAGATTTTATTTATTTATTTGATAGAGAGCTAACCAGGCATCCCCCAAATCCTAAATTCTGCATTTAAGGACCTATTGTATTACTGAGTAACTTTTCACAAGTAATTTACCTTTTTCACTCTCCTTCTCTCACGACTCTACAGTGGGTTTTTCCAGAGGCTACATGACTTAGCGACATCTTCACTCTAATGGTTAATGGAGAATGTACTTCGGTATTTTTGTGTTTCCTAGAACCTTGTAAGCTGTAATTTTCCAAGATTTGGGATCTCCTCCTGCCAACTTGTAGTGGGATACATGTTGGAAGATTTGCTACTTGTGTTTATAAACAAATTTCCTTTAATAATATCACTTAGCAATTCATTCTGCACTGCAATAAAATTAAATCGCAGCTCCCATCATTCTCAGGCGGTTTTTTGAGACACTGACTTCACCATCAGATCCTTGAAGAGCAGGAGGGAAAACAGTTTCTCACTGCAGTTATCACACAAGATCTGTGTTGTTACATAAGAGACTTCATCACGGGAGAAAAATCTTGATTTTTTGGGAGGGGACACAAGGAGTTAGTCCCGGACAAACTCCATACCCATGGTGGAAACATGTGAAAGTCACTTTTTGTGGTGGTTATGTTTAAGTGAGCTCCAGAATTTACTAGAGTGGACACTGCTGAGAATTCAGCTTCGTAAAGACCCAAAGCTTGTTCTCTTTCACTCCTGTGCCGCGCCCTCTCCCTGGAGTGGAAGGGAACCCCACAGCACCAGGGTGCTGAGCGAGGAGCACCTCTCAGATGCTCCCTTGATGCCTCCAGGGAACCTGGATATTCCAGGACACCACAGGCGAGAGGATGGGCTGCTGTCGGGGTTGTTTTTATTGATAGCTTTCTTGTTGTTAATAAAGTGTTCTTTTTTTTTTTAAGATTTTTAAAATTTATTTGACAAAGATCACATGTAGGCAGAAAAGCAGGCAGAGAGAGAAGGGGGTGGGAAGCAGGCTCCCTGTTGAGCAGAGAGCCCGATGTAGGCCTCTATCCCAGGACCCTGAGACCATGACCTGAGCCAAAGGCAGAGGCTTAACCCACTGAGCCACCCAGGTGCCCAAAGTGTTCTTTTATTTTTTTATTTTTATTTTTTTTTAAAGATTTTATTTATTTATTTGACACACAGAGAAATCACAAGTAGGCAGAGAGGCAGGCAGAGAGTGGGGGGAAGCAGGCTCTCTGCTGAGCAGAGAGCCCGATGTGGGACTCCATCCCAGGACCCTGAGATCATGACCCGAGCTGAAGGCAGAGGGCTAACCCACTGAGCCACCCAGGCGCCCTAAAGTGTTCTTTTAAACAGAAGATCACATGCGCTTACCTTGTGGCAGGTCATCAGCTGTACCCTTTAGGCTTTGTGCTCTTTTCAGTGTGTATTTTATACTTCAGTTTAGATGGTGGCTTAAAAACAGATCTCAGGGGCGCCTGGGTGGCTCAGTGGGTTAAAGCCTCTGCCTTTGGCTCGGGTCATGATCTCAGGGTCCTGGGATTGAGCCCCGCGTCGGGCTCCCTGCTTGGTGGAGAGCCCACTTCTCCCTCTCCCTCTTCCTGCCTCTCTGCCTACTTGTGATCTCTCTCTGTCAAATAAATAAATAAATTCTTTAAAAAAAGAAAAAGAACAGATTTCATCATCCAGAGGTTACTACTCCCTGTGCATTTGAGCACATATCATATCGAATTGTTACATAATGTCTCACAAATAACAGCTAATATTTGCAGAATGCTCACATTTGTAATTTGTATATTAACTTTTTTTTTTTTTAAGATTTCATTTATTTGAGAGATCACATGCAAGCAGTGGGGGGAAGGGGGGTAGAGAGAGAGAGAATCTCAAGCGGATCCATTGCCCCCACCCTTCGCTGAGGAAGGAGCCTGATTCGGGGCTCAATCCCAGGACCCTGAGGTCATAACCTGAGCTGAAGTCAGCCACTTAACCGACTGAGCCACCCAGGTGCCCTGAGTATTAACTTATTAATCTTTACAACAGCCTACTTAAGTTGGTATTATCATTATCCTCATTTTATAGACTGGGGCATAAGGAGGTTAAGAGATTTGCCTGAGGTCATAACAGTTTATACCACCAGTTCTTCAAATGTGGCCTCTGGACCCCTGGGAATCTCTGGGAACCTTTTAGGGCTATGAGTGAGGTCCACACTGTTTTCTTAAAAATACTAAGATATGGGGGTGCCTGGGTGGCTCAGTTGGTTAAACAACAGCCCTCGGCTCAGGTCATGATCCTGGAGTCCCAGGATTGAGTCCCCATTGGGCTCCCTGCTCAGCAGAGAGTCTGCTTCTCCCTCTGACCTCTCCTCTCTTATTCTCTCTCTCTCTCTCATTCTCTTTTTCTCTTAAATAAATAAAATCTTAAAAAAAAAAAAACACCAAGATATATGTTTTTTTCACTCTCATTTTCTCGTGAGTATACAGTGGAGTTTTCCAGTGGCTATGTGACATGGTGACATCATCACTGTGATGGTTAATGACATATATGCTTGTATGTTTTTGTGTTTTCTAGAATTTTTTAAGTTGGCAGGTTTATAAGTAATATGTTTTTAGGCATTAACTCAGTTTGCTCTCAGTATTTCTATTGTGCTCTTACTAGCTATTTTCAGTTTTATCTGCTGTTACAAGCTGAATTATATCCCTAGGAATTCATATGCTGAAGCCCTAAACCTCCCTGCCCCGCCCCCAGTAGCTCAGAATGTGACCGTGTTTGGAGATAGGGCCTTAAAGAGGTGATCAGGTAAAAATGAGGCTGAGGCTTTTAGGGATACTTCAGACCCCTGGCCTCTGAGATCCACCCCCCCCACACCCCTGTCTTTCTTCTAAGAAGGTTGTTGATGACATCACCAAGGCACCTGGTGATTGGAAGGGTCTGAGGATTTTGGTGAAACTGACCATCCAGGGCAGACGGGCTCAGACTGAGGTAGTTCCTTCTGCCTCTGCCCTGATCCATGGGCTGCAGTGTGGATGAATGCTGCCTTCGTGACATCAACAGTGGTGTGGTGAAATGTCTGGTTAAGGTCTAGAAAGGAAAATACTTCAGGGGTGTTTGACAATCAAAAGAAAAAAAGCATCAGACATGTGCGTGAATAGGGGAATGACCATATATGGCCCAGCAAGAAGGCAGCCATCTGCAAGCCAGGAAGAAAGATCTCAGGAGAAAGCAAACCTAGCAACACCTTAATCTTGGACTTCTCATCTCCAGGACTTGGAGAAAATAAACTTCTGTTGTTGAAGCCACCCCCAGTTTGTGGTATTTTGTTATGACAGTCCTAACAAACTAGTATACTTGTTGTTTTTAAAAAATATTTTATTTATTTATTTGATAGAGACACAGCGAGAGGGGAACACAAAGTAAGGGGAGTGAGAGGGAGAAGCAGACTTCCCGCTGAGTGGGAAGCCCAATGTGGGAATCAATCCCAGGACCCTGGCATTATGACCTGAGCAGAAGGCTGACACTTAATGACTGAGCCACCCAGGTGCCCGTAATATCCTTGTTTTAATGCAGAAGCTAATCCGCCTGTCTTTTGAACCAGACAGTAAATGTAAATCAGTGCCCCCTTTCTTGCTAATTTTTTTGGGAGGGGGATTGTAGCTGTGTTTCATAAAACACATTATTTTGTTAATATGTAATGGTTTCCTTATTGCTATTTTAAAACATTTTTTCACTTTTTAAGAGTCTCTTTAAAGATTTAAGAGCAGTTTTAGTTCACAGCAAAATTTAGGGGCAGGCTGAGTTTTATTTTCAAGTACAATAGATGATATCTATGTCTATATGTCTCGTAGAAATAAAAGTTGGTAGGAGTCCTCAATAATTTTTTAGTGTAAAGGACCCCCGAGATGAGAAAGCTTGACAACTGCTGTGCCCTACCGTACTTCTTCCAAATGGGATCATATTACACATGATCTTCTATAACAAGCTTTTCTCATCCAGGAATACGTAGTGGGTTACCTTAGTTGTAAACCAATGCAGATCTCCATGAGTTTTAATATCTTTGCAATAGTTCATTGTGTGTATGTATGTTACGTTAACTAGCTGGTCTCTGACTAACAATGAGTTGGTTTTCAGGTTTGGCTATTATAAACAATTCTGGATTGAGTATCTTTGTGCATTTTTTTTTTTTTAATGCTTGTGAGGTCATCCAGAAACGAGATTTTGTGGTTTTAAAGATGTTAAATTTAAGTCTCTTATTTAGAAACTAAGGTCCCTCCATTTTGTATTGCTAGGTACTAAATACAAACATAAAAAAATGCATAAAACATATATACCATTTAACAAATACACCCAGCAGCTTTTGGGCCCATTCACTTGAAAAGGCCAACCTAGGAATTCTCTCAAAGGTTAGGAAAACCTTTTCTTCTTTATACGTGGTAACCATTTTCTACAACTCTTTTACCTGTCATCTGGAAAATTGGATCTCTCCCCTAAATTGGCTTTGCTGTTGGACTTAACTAACAGTCCTGGACTCTTGTTGATTTGCTTCTGGCATAAATCAGCTGACCCACCTTGAAGGTGTTGCAGAAGACCAGTCCCACTGGAGGAGCTGCCCGGGAGTGTGGGAAACATTTTGACCTTCAAAAGTCTGGAAGCATCGGGGCGCCTGGGTGGCTCAGTGGGTTAAAGCCTCTGCCTTTGGCTCAGGTCATGATCCCGGTGTCCTGGGATGGAGCCCTGCATTGGGCTGTCTGCTCGGCGGGGAGCCTGCTTCCCCCCCACCTCTCTGCCTGCCTCTCTGCCTACTTGTGATCTCTCTCTGTCAAATGAATAAATAAAATCTTTTTAAAAAAAGTCTGGAAACATCTATTGTCTTATTGATGGGCATCTTGTCAGTGCCTGTCCAAACTATTGGGCAACTTTGGTAATTCTAGAAGACCAGGGACTTTATAAGATAGCACTGGAATGGGAGAGCTATGTCTAGAATCTACTTCCTCAGTGCCTTGGACATACACAGTGAGCTTTGCTAAGACTAGGATTGAGATGGTGGGAAAAGATGGCAAATTTCAGGACATCTTGAGAACCACGGGGCATCAGAGCCTTCTCTTCTTGATGTGAGAAAATAACATTTTTCAAATGCCCACTGTCCTACTTAGTATATAGTTTTGCATGAGTTTCACAGAATTCTTCTGAGATAGATGGTATTGTTGTTACAGATAGAAAATAGATTAGGGAACCTGCCGAATAACACAGCAGGTAAGTGGGCTTCCACCCCCAGTCTATCTGACAAGAAACTGCTCTCCCATTATACAGTATTGCTACACAACCCGGCAAGGCTGCTGTTACTTACTGGGAGGCCAGGATATCAACAGCCAGAGCCGCCCTGCAGCACCACCTCTAAATCCAACCTCAAAGGAAAAAGAAAACTCGGAAAAGGAGCTATTGTTTTCTGTTTTCCTAAGGGGACCCCAGGCCAAGCCATTGATGCAGTCAGAATTCCCAGGCAAGCCAGATTCAGGGTGACTATGAACCTTCTAACCTGTGTTTTTTCCTACCGATTAAGATCATGTTTTTCATTGCCTTTGATTTTTTTTTTTTTTTTTTTAAAGACTACAGCAACCAAGTCTTTTTATAAAAATACAATCTAGGGCTTGGGTCCCAAGAGTTCATTATGTTTTGTCCTGTTAGATTCTCCATGTTTCCTCTTCCATTTATTTGTAATGTAAACCTCACCCCGTTTCTGCTCTGATCCTGGGACTGCCCAGCTTCCAGCCTTCCCAGCTGGGATGTCAACACATTTTCACAGGCAATGATAAGGGTCACAGTTTTAACAAAAACCTAAACACCTCAGACAAAACCAGCCTCCCCTCCAACCCCCTTCCCCAGTGGCTTATTACAAACAAGTTGAAGTCAAAAGCACGAACAAATGCGCCTTTTCCAAACGTGCAGCCCCAAGGCAGATGAGATGGTCAGACGTTCGCCTTTTAGGGTTGCCCTAGAAAGGGCTAACAAAAGGGGTGAAGCCCTGAAACAGCTGCTTGGAGAGGAGGACATCTGCCTCTCTTACCAGCCATTCAGGGCTTCGGCCTTGCCTGGAAAAAAGCATGTGGGGCTGGGGAGCAATAGTTCGGAGGCAGCCAGTTGTTCAATGGCTTTTGTCTTAACGAAGCCACCCATTACTGTCAGAGCCATAACTGGAAGGAGCCAGCTGTCAGGGCTGTGGCACAGGCCCCTCCGGGTAGCCCGCAAGGGGAGACAGAAAGCGTCTGTGGCCAAATTCCCTTTTAGATACCTGCGCTTACTGGCTTTGTAACTGGAGAGATTTGTGTCCTCCCCACTCCCATCTTCCCTGGGGAGACCCCCCGGGGCCCTTTTTCTTGCCCTATGCCCATGGAGAGATAGCAGGGACATCTCAGGATTTGGATTCCTTGGTTTGCAACTCCGTAAGTGCTGGGCTGGGCTGGGTTCTGCTGCGGTTGGTTGGCGTTTGGCGCTCTCATCTAGCGCTTCCCTTTGAAATCTACCTTTTTTTTTTTTTTTCGTTTTCGTTTTTTTTTTTTTTTTTTTTTTTTTTTTTCTTTTTTTTTTTTTTTTAAACCAGGTATGATGATGTCAAACGTGATGCTGATGCTACAGTTACAGACACGGCCCCTGCTGGCGCAGCCTCTCTGATTCTCTCTCCCTCTCCGCGTCCAGCGCTGGGCTTTTTCAGACAAGTGCATCTCCTAACCAGGTCACATTTCTGCCGCGACCCACTCTCCGTCTGTCACCGGAGTCAGACCGCAGGAGGAGTGCGGAGGAAGACTACAGCGTTTGCTTCGCCAACCGCGGGGTGGAAAGAAGGACATTAAAATACTGCAGAAGTCAAGACCCCCCTTCCCCCAGGTCGGACCCTGACCACGATGCGCACCCCGGGCTGCGGGCGGCTGGTGCTGCCGCTGCTGCTCCTCGCCGCGGCCGCCCTGGCCGAAGGCGACGCCAAAGGGCTCAAGGAGGGCGAGACCCCCGGCAATTTCATGGAGGACGAGCAATGGCTGTCGTCCATCTCGCAGTATAGCGGCAAGATCAAGCACTGGAACCGCTTTCGAGACGTGAGTCTGCAGGGCCGCGAGGGCCGGGGGCGCGGGTTTGGGGAGGAAGGCTCGGAGCGGACCCCCAAGCGCCGGGAGCGGCGGCGGCACGTCGCAGCCACCGGCTCCGCAGCCCAGCCGGCTGACTGCACCGAGAGTAAACAACGCGTACCCACCCTCCCGCCAGCCGTCGCCGGCCCAGCTCGACGCCCCCTCCCCGAGATCCCCCTCCCCCATCACGCGCCCCCGGCCCGGGACCCCAAGCCCCACAACCGCCCCGGGCGAGTCCCGGGCAAGGAGTTGCTCCCGGGGCTCGTGCGCCAGACACGGTCTCCACTGCAGGTTGGGCGCGGAGACGGGCGCGGGATGCAAGGCGGGGGGTACAGGGCGGGAGAGGTGGGAGCCCTGGCTGCGGCTGGACCCCCGACCGGCTCCCCTCCTTTTTTGGTGGAAAAAAAAGAGGCCCCCAGGCCTGCCCCCAGCCGTGTGGATGCTGCAGGCGCTACATACGGGGCACTGCAGAAGGGGCAGGTCTGGGTGCGGCCGGCGGCGGGTAGGTAGCATCGTCTTGCGCGAGTGCCCTCTATTCCCACCTTGGGCTTTGGGGGAGGGAGGACAGAAGGGGACAGAGCCCTGGGCTGGGACTTTGGATTGGGGTTGGGGGTCGGTGTCCTAGCAATCTTCATTAGGCGACATGGTGAAAGGCGTGTCCATGATTGGGGGCGGGCGACGGCAGTGAAAATAGCCGAGGCCACCTCCGGGTGGCCACCAGAGCCAGGTCTGGGGTCCCCATGCAGAGTGGCGTGAGCTCACGGAGGCTGGTTTTCCAGGACCAGCCTTTTGTGGGGAAGCCGGGCCCAGAGAAGGGAGGGACTCCCATGCGGAGGAAACACTCTGCATCCGGTGGTCTTGAAGAGCAGAGGCGAGAGCCGAGGAGCTGGGTCTGGGGTCCCTTCGGGGACGCCTGCCCGATCCCTGGTTTAACCTTGGGCCGAACTTAGCCTGGTGGGGGTTGGGGAGGAGGCTGCGGACTAGCCGGCATTGCTGCAGCACTTTGTTTACGAGCACCTGTAGATCAGAGGGGAAACCGGAGACTGTGTTCCCAGAAGGGGGGAAGTAGGAGCTGAGCGGGGGAGGGGCGGGTGGGGGGTGCCGGTGGCAGAGGGCGTGGCTGGAACCCAGAGAAGGGGGCCGGGTGTAAGGTGGAGGATGGGCCCGGATGCGGATGCACCAGGGGAGAAGAATGCTGGTCCTGGCCACCTAGTGCTCTCAGATGCCTGCCAGCTCCCAGAAAGCCTCTAATACGACCCCAGGCCTCACTTTTCACTTGCCAAGGTCCCTCATCAGACCCACCAGGCACAACGCTGGCCACACTGTGACCTCTCTCATCTTCTTTTAAATTGTGGGCATCCAGAAGTTCCTTAGAAATGCGTTTAAAACACACATACTTCATACACTATCCAGCCAAATGATGTAAAAAGGCAGAGATATGGATCTTTTTGTTACCGTGAGACAAGTGACAGTTTCTCTTCAAAGTCTAACCAGTAGGTTGTAAGTCATCAGAGAGCATCGTATGCAGCCAGGTCATCTGGGGCAGAGGGGCCTGGGTCCCAGAGGAGGCACAGCTGGTCCAACCAAGGGAGGCAGGAGTCCCAGCAAGACCTTTTCCGAGGCCCCTGCAGGCCCAGCACAGATTAGCTGCAGCCTCCTGCCACTGCCTGGGAAGCAGCCTGGCCATAGCAGCGAGGGGGCAGCTGCAGGCTGGTCCATCCCCAATCTATGTGTCACCGGTCCAGGCCTCCCTCTGACTCGCTGGCGGTTTGATCTTCCGAAGCAAGACTGGTGAAGGTCAGGGGGAAAAGAAATGCTTATCAGAACGTAAAGGTTTAAAAATAAAGATGCCTCCCCATCTCTCTTCCTCCACCTGCTTCCAGTAGCCAACACTGTGGGTGAGGCTAAATGACTTGACTGCTTAACCCCCGACCCAGGGCTGCCCACCTGTCTCCCTGTATTGGTGCCAATCATTTCCTCCTTCCTCTCATGCTTACCAGAAGAAAGGCACTGGATTATAAATTCTGCAGGGCCGGACACCCTAGGATTCATGGAAAGCTTTAGGGCACGTATTAAGATGGGCGGCCTTAGGCTTTTTTAGGGAAAATGTCCTCTAAAACCCCATTTAAGGTAGCGTTGGCTGGGGGAAGACAGGATCAGGGAGAGGAGGAGGCCAGGGAAGGCTGGGCAGGGGGTTCTGGCTCTGGGGACCCGTTGGCAGCTTCTGCAGAAGGGCAGGAGCTGTGGGCTCAGAGCCCCTGCATTGCACAATCCTAGAGCGCCCACAATGTGAGGGCGCCCCCTGGAGTTGTGCAGCACTCATGCTGTCCACAGGGACTCTGCCAATACCCCAGACACTTCTCAGCCCTCCTCTGTTAATAGATGCCCCACTTCCTACTCTAAAGCCCGAAGGCCCTCTAGTTGGGCCCAGTAGCATAGGGCTTTATATACATCTCATCAGGCTAGCTTTCTGGAAAATATGCTTCCTGAAGCCTCAAAGGCAAGATGGATGTTCTTTTGGATGTCTAAGGCATTACCAGGTCGTACCAGCACGTTATTCATAACCACAAAATGACGCAGCCCCCCAGTTTGCCTGAACAGAAGAGATAAGCGAGAGGGGTGGAATCTTCTTAGGGCATAGGATGGAGGAGTCAGTATTGTAGGTGAGGGGCGTGTCTCATTAAATGGTGCTGACTGAATCGAGGGGCAGGGGAGATTGAGGGCACGATGTGGAAGAGGTCAGGAGGACGAAGAAGAGGAAGAAAGCATGGGCAGGTGCTCTAACACGGAACTGCTCTGAGCTGGGTAAGGGGGAGTTGAGTTTAGCGTTCTTTCTCTGAGCACTAGGATTATAGGGGCAGGGTTTACCCCCGGAGTAATCCCCCCGTCCAGGGCTGGGGTAGATTTCCTCTAATGCCCAGTGCCTCGCTGCCAGGGAGGAGAGCTTCATGCCAGAGGAGAGGGGGAGGTTGGGATCTAGCTGTGCCCTCCCCTGGGCAGGCCTGGGCCTTTGGGAGGCCTGCTTCCCAGCCCTGTTATCTCCAGCTTCCCTCCCAGCAGAACCAGGTGGAACTTCCCTGTAGTCTTCAGAGCATCCGGGCCTTGGAGATGCGGACGCACCGTGAGAGGAGCCAAGCCCGTTACACAGCATTCTTCCGGGCAGAACCCGAGAGCCGGGCGAAGCGGCACGGAATGTTCTTTTTCTTCTTAATTCTTCCCTACTTTGTGCCCCACTTCCATTAAGCTCTCATGAGATTGACGGGCGTCTAGCACGGTGCCTGGCCCCCAGCAGGCACACAGTTACTGTCTGTCGAACCACCGATTGTAGTGCGCGCTGGCTTCCAGCTGCCGGTCCTTGCATCATCTCTCGTGCCCCTCTACCACCGTCTTTGTCATTTCGTGACCCATGCATTCTATGGTTGAAGAAACAAAGGCGCAGAGAAGTTAAGTAACGTACAGCAGGGTCAAATAGCTAGAAAGTGGCCGAGCTGGGATTTGAACCCAGGTCTTCCGGTTCAACTGTGCTTTTCAGGGAGCTCAAGGCCTAACCCTTAGGGACACATGGGAAGGAGGAGTCTACCTTGAAGAACAAAGTCAGCCTCAGCTTGTGCCCTATGTGCCTCCAGGTTGCCCTGGGCCTGGAGCGGAATCTCCTAGAAACGGGGGCCGAAGCTCTCAGGGTCTTCGGCAGCCAGCCACCTCCTGCTCCCCTCCTCCCTGGACCTAGCGACACCCCAGAGGCAGCTCTCTACCCAGGAGAGGCAGGAACGCGCTGTGCTGGGAGACCTCTGGCCTGGGAGCTGGAAGGCCTGGGTGCGGGTTTGGGCTCTGCCACTGGCCAGCCATGTGACGCCAAGTACGTCACACTACGTCTCCGGCGGGCAAGGAGACCAAAACCCGTGCGTCAGCATGGAGGTGTTTTGTCACAGGGTTGGAGGGCATCCATTTCAGGTGGGACTCCCCAGCCTCAAGCCCCCCAGAAAGCTCCCGGAGGAACGCTCATCTCTGGGGCTAGCCCACACCACGCCTCAGTCTCCACAAGAAAGACGTTGATGTGTGTTAACTCCTTCCTTGCAGATCTGAGCACCTCCGCGGTGTGAGGAGCTTCACCTTGACCCTGGGGGCTGGCCTGGGGAAGTAATGCCCGCTGGCTACTCCTGAGTATCAGATTTTTAGGATCGCCAGGCAAGCCAGTAACAAGTTTTAGCCACAAAGGGGTCCCTTCTCACCATCCCTTCCCTCTCCCCATTCTGCACACCTAAACCAATGCAAGTGTGGGAATGAGTGGCACAGATGTTTGTGAACAAGTGTGGGTGCGTGAGAAGAACCCCAAACTGGGTCAGAATGGATTCCATAACTCGGGTTTGGGATGGGAGGGTGAGTCCTTGCCTGGCCTCCTCCATTCTGATTTTGAATCCTCTCCCAGCTGGGGGCGGAGGGGGGGGCTGGCATCTCCCAGAGCCATATCGGCCTGGCGAGGGACCCTTGAACACCCAGCAGGACTCCAGCCTTTGGGAAGAGAGGGAGAGAAGAGCACTCTTTACCTGGAGAGGCTGTAGTATGGTCCTCTCACCTTCCAGGCACGCTGAAGAGGGTGGACGGTCAACGCCACCCCCTCTCCTTCTCCAGAATGTCAGAGGCTGTCTGGAAGACAGCCAGAGCTCTATCCTACCCCATGCCCCAGAGGCCCTGGGGGAACACTCAGCTTGTCCTCCTCGTGAGAGGACAGACCTCGCAGTGTGACCTTGTGAGAGCCACTTCACGTTTCTGGCCCTTGATTTTCCCATGGGCTTCATGGGCTGCCGACACAGAAGCCTCTGCAGAGCCCTTGACATTCCTTGACTCCAGGAAGATGGCCCTAGAGGCAGCCAACAGCCCTTCACCCCCAACCCTTCTACCAGCTGGCAGCCCCGTCTTTGGGTGCAGGGAAAGGGTTTCTCTTTGCTCCTAAGGAAATATCTGTGACCAAA